CATGTCCATGCCCTAATTTCACTTACTGGCAACGAGAACTAAAGGGGGTCAACTCTAGTCGATTTTATTACTGAGGTGTAACCTATGTACAAGTTGAGTATATATAGTTACAACGAGGGTGGGCCCGTAAATGGCAGGGCCGAGCGGAGCAGAGCTAATGGAGTTAAACATTAGCCGATTGAATATTACTGACAAGTCGGGTTACGGGGTTAGCAGAATGGTAGATGATAACCCAGAAACAGAAAGGAGGGATAGGCCCAAAGGTGGGCTTGCAGGGCAAGCAAGTGAATTGCCCAGTGGAGGCAGGAGTGTGCTAGTGGATGTCAGAGCTGTCCGGAAGCCTTTGGGGCTCCGTACTTAGGGAGGCATAGTGTCACGACCATGCATCCCGGCCCGTTAGCCGCCCGTCCCGATGCTGCCCGAGCCTATTCCCGCTGTGCAAGCGCGAGCGCGAGCCCCGACCTCAGCCCTATCCTCCCTGAGGGCCTCCCTGCTCACTCCCCCACTTGCCCCTAGGCTCCCCTACACTTGGCCGACTCCCCCACAGCCACACCGACCTCCCTGCCCCGAGTCCGCCTCTGGTACCGACCTAGCGTGACTCCGCGACATCGCCTACTCCGCTATGATACCATCGCCGCTATCGCGGCCCTACACCCCTTCGTTTATTTATCTGTTATTGTTTGTTTTGACCCTCGGTCATTGCCGGCCGTGGTGTGGCCAACCCCGCTCTTTGTTCCTATTTGCTTCCGGACCCTTCGGCCTTCGGCCCGGGTCCGCTTCTATTCATTCTACCTTCATATATATATCCTGTATACTACATTAAAGTACCTTAGCTCTAATATCAACTTGACCACGACCCCAAGCCCTGACCCCAACAAGGCAGCCCCAGTAAGTTCGAAATGAGGGCCAAGAGACAACTAGGGGGCACAGCACTCCCTTTAGAGTTGCTGAGGCCAAATGCCCTACCCTCGGGCCTTGTCTGAGGCATCGCGGCCATCGCGGCCCTTAGCGGTCCGCATCGGCAACCTTCGGTGCCCGACCCCAGATCAGTATCTAACACATAGGTAATATATTGAAAAGAGGGGGTGGTGACCATCAAGGGAAGTGGAGGTGATTGCAGAATATGGGAGCTCTGAGGTTAGTGAAGGAGTAGAGGTAGTCTGGAGAGTTCGGAGGTAGTGGAAGTCGATGGCCGTGGATGGATATGACACTACCCATTAGTACATGTTCACGCACTAATCCCTCATCACCTAAGGGACCTGATAACTTGCAGAATCACCCATCCCACAACTCCTGAATCCAACCATTCCCCAAGCCCCCCATGTCTGACACACACTGTCATATCCATGCATATCTGATCCCGACCCGACTCCCGGACCTCCTTCTTCACCACCTCCAGAGTCCTACCCTATCGCTGTCCGTTCCAATATTCACCTTTGGTCCTGGCACCTGTCATATCCATCCCCGGCCATCGACTTCCGGTTCCTCCGATCCCTCCAGTCTAACTCCGCTCCTCCCTCACTAACCTCGGAGCTCCCGTATTCCGCAATCCTCCCGGTACCCCTCGATGGTCACCACCCCCTCATTTCAATTTATTACCTACGCCTCCCTAAGTACGGAGCCCCGAAGACTTCTGGACAGCTCCGACGTCCGCTAGCGCACCCCCGCCTCCGCTGGGCAATACACTCGCCTGCCCTGCAGAGCCCACCTTCGGGCCTATCCCTCCTTTCCGTTTCTGGGTTATCGCCTGCCTTTCCGCTAACCCCGCGACCCGACTCGTCAGTAATATTCAGTTGGCTAAGGTTTAAACCCTGTTAGCTCCGCTCCATTCGGCTCCGCCAATTGCGGGCCCGTCTCCGCTGTAACCATATATATATCCCACTTGTACATAGGTTACACCCCAGTAGAAAAATCAACTAGAGTTACCCCCCCTAGGTTCTAATTGCCAGTCAGTAAGTTAGGGCATGGACGTGTCACTAGGCACAGCGCTCTTGGCAGAAGTCGCTGAGGCCGAAGCCCTCCGCTACAGAGACATTCCTTCGTCTCGAATCTGGTCTCTGACAGCACCACACCTCCTCTCACCTCCCACAACACCTCCACCCTTCCGTCACCCTCCTACTCTTCTCCCGTCCGCTCCGATACTCACCCTCGGACCTGACACCTTTCCTCTCCTCCACACCTTTCCTCTCCTCCACACCTTTCCTCTCCTCCACACCTTTCCTCTCTTCTACACCTTTCCTCTCCTCTACACCTTTCCTCCTTCCTCCTTCCTCTCTCTCCCCTCTGGCCCTCTTCCATCGACCCCCCACCAAGTTATGACCTTCCGCCGCTGTCCCATACTTCGTACTCGGACACCGCTCATACCTTTGCTCCAAGCCTCCATCATAGCTCCTACCTCGGACTTTGACTCCACCTCAGCCTTAGTCCATTGCATTGGTGACCTCATACTACGTAAACACCATTGCCAATATCCCTCGGACTTTCAACCCCACCTCTGTAACCTCCATAAGCTCTGCACCTCCGAGCTCCATGGATCACCTTCGGCACTTTCGCTGCTTGTAATGTATCCCTCACGTTTTCCCCTCATCCCTATTTGGACTGCTGCTTCTTCCCATTCTAGCCAGTTAGTCATCATCCCCACTTCCCCTCATCCTCCTGCCCCTCTGGGCCTCACCCTCCTTACCTCCTTTCGGACGTACCACAGGTTCTGCCTTATGACCTTTGGTACTGCTCCGCTTTGGTCTTCCCTTTGTTCCCGTTCGGACGCCTTCGTTCCGATTTGGACCCCCTTTGTTTCCTTGTGCTTTCGCCCTCCCATTATATATATCGGCGCCTGTACATACTCGTTTTAGACCTTAGTCTAAAATCGACCTGAAATGCCCCCTAGAGACTTCCTGCTCACCTCCTATGAAATTAAGGACCAAATGGACAAACAGCAATGGCACAGCGCTCCGCTTGAGTCGCTGAGGCCAAGGTCCCTCCTTGCTAAGTCTCCGGTTCCCCTCCGGAATCGTCCGCCCTTGCCCAGTTCTAACAGTACACACCCGGAATCCTTCAATGAACTGGGGCCTTGCCCCTTCAACTTTGTTTACATTTTGTATTATGTATTTATGCACAGTACATAGAGATCGTGAAATCCGAAATATCACTGCAATCACCCCTGAATTTTAAGTTGAAATTGACTCCATATGGCCTCTTGTAATCAGGGGGCATTCTAGAATGATATCACGATAAAAATGATTCCTATCATTTCTATCAACTTTGGTGGTTTGCTGATGTAGGAAGGTGTGTGGGTGGGAGGGTGTGGGGTCGGGATTCCGGGATATGACAGTTATCCTGAATTAGCAATAATAGAGGACCTTGTCATCAATCAAGGTCGAAAAATTTACAAGACCTGCTACAGAGTAGTGGGAATTGATGCAACTTTTTGATTACAAGAATGGCCATTCCTTTTGACCCAGTTCCACTGTGAAGCCATGCTACAATAGGATCCCTCATCAGTCACATGAATTTGGGCTTCGGCAACTTGTCAGGGTCGCGTCCGCGGTCGAGGCGGTCCGGGCGTAGCGTCCGGTGCTGAGGACCTCACGGGGGATGGATCGGGTGTGCGTACTGGCAGCCCCGATGCGGGACGGCGATCCCTGGCCACTTAGACTGAAGTGGGAATGTTGAGTTATTATTAAAAGGGGAACTATGCTACTTACCTGAAGTGGGAATGTTGAGAAGAAGGTTACTTCTTCGGTTCCCACCCCAGGTGTGTTTATATACATGCGGCTTGGGTCACATGAGGTCCGCCACGTCACCCCGCATACAGCCGCAGTCACCCGGGTGTCCCCGTGGGGGATCCCGAGGGTGTATGCTGCACGCGCGCGCACTAGGTTGCTCCCTAGAGCCGTCCGGGGTCGTCCGGGGCTAGGCACGTCGTGTGTGCGTCGCAGGCGGGTCAATAATACATGGATATAAGGGAAAGGTCGTCCGTGTGAAGTAGAAATAGAAATAGAAATGGAAATGGAAATAGAAGGGGAAGTGGGAGAGGGATAGAGGGGGAAGGGGTATGAAGGAGGGGTGCAGGGTGGGAGAAGGGGAACCAGGTGAGGTGGGCCCGGGTGGAGGCGGGTCAGGCGGGTGTGCCCTGACACAACTGCTGCATGCACTCAATAACCACAAATCCCACTGCCCAAATTTCTCCTTCATCTCATAGTGTCTTGACTTTACAGATGAATTGAATATTTATTGTATTGGATATATCTAGGTATTCATAGGTTTCGTTTTTAAAATTAATGGCATCTTTCATGTTTTTCCCTGTGATTTCTCACCATATCTCAACAAAGAAGCATATTCAAAATGAAAAAACACTCAAGGTGCACTGGTATGGGTCACCAAGAACACTATTTTGCAATCACTTGAGTTCTATAAGAGTCAAATGTCCCGCCGTTCCCAGCTTTATTCACAATAGACAGCACAGCCAAGGGTGGGCAAATAGTCATCAACCTGAATTGCCGACCCCCATTTACAGTGGGCATGCCAGCCCCATAGTACAAAGTGGGTTTCATTCGGACGAAGGAGGACAAGTACTTCCAGATCTGACTTGTTTTGTTATTTTCTGCTTTATTTGCATTTATTTTCCCTGAGATCCCCCGCCATTGGCACTCTCACGAACAGCCCCTGAAGTTTGCAGGTTAGATATCCAGAATAAAACAGAACAGTCACTACCAACAGCCCAAGTCTTTAATAGGAGGGCTAATGTGGGAACTCAGTCTCTGTAAATGAAGAACTGAATTACTACGTTGAGTACTAACCTAATGCGGGAGCTATAGTACAGAAGAGTACAGAGTAAGTAATGTAACAACTAACTAAAACCAATGATACTAACCTCAGTCTCCGTAAATGAAGAACTGAGGGGAAAAGGAAAGTAGAGCAAAAACAGTATATACAATTATATACATTGTGTCACGAGGTGAATACGGATGTAAGAGGGATCATGTGGTGTTGGTTGGTAAGTCACGGGTCGTTGTTACTCCAACAGTCTTAAGATGTCCTCCCCGGGCAATGGGAGAGGAGACAAGATTGGAAGTGAGTGGGAAAGACTGATTCCTGATGGTTTGTCGCCACCTGGTATTGTTTTCTTGCCCACTCAAATGTGGCGATATCGGGTTTTTAGGCGCACTTGATGAAACGATAGTGAGGATATCAGGTGATGAAAGGGTCGAGACTGCTTGTGAAGTGAGATATGCGCTTTTCCCAACGAACCTACGTGACGGACTCATGAGAATCGCTCCCCGGAAAATATTCGACAGAGGCTAGTTTCCAGTGACGAAGTCTCATGTTTGCTTGTCACCAAGACCACCCCCGATGGCAAGCCTCATGAAGTGAGTAAGACTCACAGCAATTCATATTCGGACATCCTTTTGCTGTAAACATGAACAGGAGTACCTTGGACTATTCGATGTGAGTGATGGTCCAGGATGAACTCCCACCAATCGATTTTACATTTCGCTCTAGTTCGCCGATGTGAACGTGTTCCTTCTTCTGGCTATAGGAGCGTATGTACCCTCAAATGAAGAATTAGCGCAAGACTCCCAACATGCAGGCCAGCTGCGAACGATTATAACTGCTGTTAAAGAAGGATCCGATGTTTTGTGAGTCTTGCCTTGCTCTATGCCCTGAAAACTTTCTGGTATTTTCGTGACCTTTCGGATCTACAGCGTTAAAGATGCTTTCAACCTTTCTGAGAAGAATGACCTACTATTGCTCCAGGAGGACCAATCAACTGTTATTTCTCTGCTCCAGGCTTTCTCCCAAGGGAGACATTGGTGAATACCTGGGACCCTCCGCGATTTCGCTGTTAACAACCGATTTTGATCACTACTTTAGCATTGTGATTAGAAAGATGGATGGCACCGTCAAGGGTGTCTTGTCCGATCGACGATTCGTTCGATGGCTTGCAGATGATGTGAGCACCCATCTTGCCCGCCTGTTCGTTCTTCATCCTGGATTCCAATTCCCACCATACATGACACCACAGGAAAACAAGTTTTCGGACGTAGAATCTACACTGGCATTGCCTCTATGCGAGCTTGAGATAGGTGTTAACAAACACGTTGTATCACTGTCGAGTGAAGCTTCCGTCTTGGATGCAATGCGACTTATGTGTGAAGAGAATGTCAGCAGTGTCGCCGTCGTTGACACCCAAAACTTACTCTCGGTACACCGTTATCCTACACCGATAAAGCCATTAAAGCCAACTGATATGGAATTTCAGGCCGTGTCCGTCACCGATATCGGAAAGCTAGTGGCTACTTCTGAAGACCGTGCTGTTCTAACGCTTCCTCTTAATCAGTTTATTTCAATGATCAAGGTCAGCTATGATCTCCCCTCTAGATAATCTGGTGATAATCATTTTGAGGTCAAAGTTTCAGCACGGCTTCACTGACGGCGAGGATCTATATCCAGTGTATAGCGTGACTCCTCTGAGCTCCTTCAAACATACCATTGATTTGCTCTTGGCTAGTTCGTGTGCTCTTGGTATCCTTTTGATATTTCGAATGACTGAATCCGTTTCTCCGCAGCTAACGCCCATCGAGCATTTATTACGGCTACACCGTCCTCCTCACCTACTCTCAACCCCGTGCAGCCTCGCTCAGGATCTTTCATGCTTCCCTCGCCATATTCCGTTGAATCATCACCTCCGACTCCATCTGGATTTTCGCCTACTACGGGTCCGGCTTCACCGTTGTACGGGGTCGTGTCGGTAGTGGACATACTTTTAGTTATCGCACGCATTGCAGGACTAGTCAACATCGATCCTAATGCGATCCGCGGGCAGAGGAAACATATGCGAACGAGCTCTCTGAATTCCACTGGAGTTTATGCTGGCAGCCTTGGACGCTCATCGCCAATGAACCAAAGGACAAGATCGATGTCTGCCTCATCCGATCTTAGAAACAGTGCAAACGACAGGCTTGATGTGAATTAAACAAATTTCTTGGTATTGCATGTATATAATTAATAATGAATAACTGCCGCCCACCGACTTCCCCTTCACTTTAGAGCCTTCCTTCCTGGTTCGATGCCCCTGGGAGCTCTCGACACAGATATCAGTTCTTTGATCGTCGCCACCAGAATCGGGGCAGATATTGGGGCGAAGAGTGGTGTGTACACGGCGTACTTGTGCTCGGGAGGAAAATAGAGCATGGCAAGCATTCCTGGGTTGAAGAATGCACGAGAAGAGAGGGTAAGTGCTTGAATAGAGTTTTGCAATATCGACAGGGCCGACGATGATGAGTGCGCCTATGCGAGGCTATCAATATTGAACAACCGCTGGATGCTGCACCTGCACCTTACCTTTTCGAGGTAATCTAAGGAATTCATGACATATTTCTGAACGTCTGCTTTCACTGGCATACCCTGTATTTGGTGAACAAGCTTTACGATACTTTCCAAAGCCTCTTGGCTGTGCTTGACATTCTCGAGTGCCCGGGTCCGAACCAAATAATCAATCTGCCATTGACTTAGGGTGAAGGGATCATCCGCAGAGTTCAACACAGGAGGGAGTTCAGGGACGCCAAGAAGCGCATAAAGCTGAGACCTGAAGAGCGTAAATGGCTGCAATAAATCCTCAACGGATAAAATGTAACCCGTCGAGTTTTGGAGAGTGGCGGGGGGGTTCATTATGACAATCCCGCCCCACTGTGGGATCACGAAAGCGTTCGCGCTGGACGGTGTGCCTGTTTTCGTCCGTTGTCGCATCTGAATTCTGGGATACTAGTACACTTACCGTTGGTTTTGATGACCTTCATTGGTCTGTGCCCTACAGAGGGTATGAAGAGTAGGAAATGCAGAACAACGTCATTGTTGATGGTCGAGGCTGCAACAACAGCATGTGTCAGTGATGAACAACCCCTTTGAAGCATCCTACCGAGTGTCCATTCTTCGGAGTTCACAAATGTCTTGATATGGTCCTGATCCAGATGATAACTTGGAGCAGACGCGTTATCATCCATCATGGTGGTCACAATATGGGGCTCGAAGGCCAATGGAGCGTGATACTGAACTTGACTCTCGATGGTGAACTTGTAAATCATAGAAAGCTCCCTTAATGAGCGGCGCAGGTGCCCTAGGAATACCAATTGACTCAAAATCAAAATCCGTTCTGGAGGGACTCACGGGTAATCGCAGCCTCAATGTCCCATGCCATAGCAAAACCTCCGAGGGACGAGTCCTCATTTAAAAGCGAGAATGCGAGGCGATATGTTGGCGAATATTGTGCCTTGACTGGCGGTGAAAGAGGATTGATGAGGGACTTAAGTGCACGAATAACGGCGTCGGTTGATTGTGATGGCACTTTAAATAGTCATTAATCCATGTAACCCCGCAGTGCGAAGTAGATTACCGTCTAAGGGAACTTTCGAAGTCAGTTCACGTCCACGCACAAATATTTCTGGTCCCCCCGCATGCGAGGGAAGAATGGAGAGAGTATAATGGGTAGCATCATCTACATCGCAGCGTGAGTCACACCATCAAGTGACAGAAAAAGCTTTCTCCCCTAGAGGCAGGTGTTTGGGACATTCGGTGAGCCACGTGAAGTTGACGCTGTCTGGGAATGGTTCTCTCTCAAGCAAATCGGCCAATTGGGCCATTACGGGGCGCGCTTGAGGCGGCCCTTTGGAGCAAGCAGAAACTGGGAACACAATCTGACAAAGGATATTTAGCACACAACAGGTTGAAAGAATTGAAAATGCCTACCTTCCTTGCCGTTTCGTCGTGCACCTGGCTCTCCGCAAGCGGTAAGCGCTCAATGCGAGTCGTATACCACCATAAAGGTACGCTGACAAAGATGATGATCCAGTAGGAAAGAATTACAATTCGACGCGTAGGTGTTTGCTGCTCTTCTAGGAGCTTGTTGGCAGCCTCATCTTCATCCATCTGGCGAACGAGGCAAGGTAACGTGAGAGGTGGGCACGGGCACCACGTGATTCAACCGTCCGTAACAGTACGACTCACCGCTACGTGGACGCACAATCTCGACCAAGTTGTTTTTGTATTACAATTCAGTTTCAGAGGCACAGTCCAATACAAAAGTCACATGTTACGTATATAAACTCAACTTCGAAACTGAATTGTAATACAAAAACATCGTCCAACCCCCGATCTGACCGTATGTTGCACTGTAGATAGGCTTTGATCACTGGTTTGGGCTCGGCGTCCTATCCATTTCAATAGGGGCCATATCCGGGGGGGGCACAAAATCCGTGGTTCACGTCATGTGAAAATCGCATCTGATCCCACCTCAAGGCCATCACGCACAAACTCATTCATCCCTGTCGGTTATCGTTGGGGTTCTTGACAGGCCTCTCGCTGGTAAGGGCACTCTCGTCGAACCTTCTGCCTGTATCGACACCTCTCACATCACACCCTGTATTCGACAGATATTGCTGAAGAATCCCCTCGTCGCAGCTAACTGAACACGACCGGAGGCGCTTAGTGCGTCGCGGTTAAAGGACACTCTTCAGCCAATCGAGCCTCCGGGAAATACGTCATCTGTGTGGAACGGTGATTGCTTTCGACGTCCCATGCAGTTCCATAGCCTTTTCGTAGAGATATCCGACTAAGGAGGCTGGAGGCTGTACCCTTGCACCGCTGGCGTCTCGTTGTCGTTTCCTTCGTCCAGGCAACGCGCTACAAAGGCCGATCTCCCACTCCGATTCCGTATGGCACCTTTCACAGGCATAACCAGTACGAGCCACTTCATCCCCACATTTCCTCTGAACGGCGAACACATACCTACCTACCCTGCTCCTCACTCGCGCACGGAGACTTAGATCTTGCTCTCTGTTGTGGGACATCCCCAGAATAGTAATCAAAACTCTGTGTTCGTCTACTTCCATCGAATGGCCTCAGCCGGCGGGATTGTTGGCAGTTGTCGCAACCCTCTGCACCCCGATTTCCACGCTACCCCCTCGGATTAGTGGGATCACATTCACATTGGGTCTGAGTAACCGCGAACTCCTCAGTCGGTGCTGGTCAATCCCAGACGGTGCAATCGGACAGAATTTGACCCGACGTGTACCCCCGCCACCATCCACATGGCTATTCAGCTGAGCGCGCATTTCATTTACAGATCAGCAGCGCGACCCGCGCACCCTTGTTGAGGGGCCTGCCCTGTTCTTGGCTTTCCAAAGCAACTACACCATGCCGAGGAGATACAAACCTGTAAAGCCTCCCGTTTCTACTTCACCTGTAAAAAGATATCACTCATATAATTATAATAAAATGGCAATCTCCTTAACCCCCAGCCTGTACGTTATCCTGAATTCTCAATGCCATCTCAGCTCGTGACACCACCGGACTCCAGCCATCACGACAGGTGATAGCGACATATGTGCGGAGTGCGATGCTGGCGTTGCACCGACAACATCTCGACTCCCCTTACCGCAGGCTCCAAAAACGGAGTCGAAAAATCTCCTCACTCTTGGTTGGAAAATGTCACAGAAGCCGCTATCCCAGGCTCAGACACCCTCCGTCATTGCCATCAGCTTCCAAAAAATGAAACAAGGGAGCATTGCGGAATCCACAAAAGCGGGCAGTTTGGCTTCATTAGCGCGAGGACGTGATATATAAAGCAGTAGGAATCTACTTAGATTTGGAGGCGAAGGTTGGGACGCATATCTCTTGACACCCCTGGTGAGACGTCGTTTGATGAAAATGGATGCCTGTGCGCACCGACAGCGTCGCTATGCTCTCGTTGCAACACGTACCTCCGGTTCCATTCACTCATGACGATCACATCCTCAAGCACGTTGGTATCTTGGCTTCTCTACAGTGGTTTAATGACCTCACTACAGGTGCCGTGCGGCGTACGTTTGAATACTGCGAATGTACCCTCCCGCTTAGCACCATCCAGTTCGCCTACTTTCCTGGGTCACCTGTGATACCTCAGGTTGCCTTCGAGATTATGCTATAAGCTTGACAACACCACCAGCTCTTCTTATCTTTCTCCTATTGGGGAATTAGACGATGACGGCAGTTCAAAAGATGGGATCGGACGCACTCTGCTTTGGAAGAAACCGACCGAGTCTTTACGATCAGAGGCATTTTTGGCAGACTGAAAGAATAATGACATTAGTGATCAATATCAATGCAACTATGGATAAATGTACGCACAATCCTTTACCCAAAAGTTTACTATACCCATGGGCGAGAATATCGATGACAGGCACAACCTCGCTTTCTGAGCTGAGCCCTGCCTTCTCCTCTTCAGGAACGAGGGACCATAGCTTGTCCACATTGATAGTCGGGGACCAATACGGGTTGCGCTTCAAGTGGAAATAGCGCATACCGACTTTACCAAAATAACCCGGATGGTACTAAGTTTGTGAAATGAGGAGTGGAATTCTCATTCGCCAAATCCCCCAACCGCACCTTATCCATGTTTGTCCTAGAGTCGAGGGTGAGGAAACTGAACAAGGAGTTGGTGTGCAACGGGAGCACTCACCGGTGGTGGTGTTGACCACCAGCAAGACCGCGACCACCCGGGTGCTTACGGTGCTTCCCTACACGTCCATAACCAGCGGAAACATGTCCGCGGTGCTTACGGGTCTTAGAGAACCGGGTCGGCATTGTCTGTTCTTCAGGGAAAAGCAGTCAGCCCAAATACATCCAAATGTACTTGTGTGCATCCATCAAAATCAAGGCTGAGACCATGCGAATTTCAAACACCACCCCCTTGAGGAGCATCACAGAGCATGGAAGTGCAGCAGGAAGGCAGAATGGCCTAGTGATCCAACGAGATTTCAGTACCTTGTAGACCTGGGTGAAGGTTCAAAACTGAATTGATACTTTTGCTTCCGAGTAAGTTGACCTTTCCTTCCCCTGAAGTATTTAACCGCCTCAGTTTTGGTGGTCCCCGATTATTTTTCAGGAACGGGTCAAGTGCTTGGTAAGCTTCCGCAGTTGCCGAGTGGGAGCGGAAAATGGTGGAAGGAAAATAAAAGAGAAGGGACAGGTGAGCTGACGTAAAAGAAAGCATGTAAAGGGAAAATGATGATAAATTTTCAGAGTCGCCAATTGCGTATTGGGAGTGGTTAGTGACTCTGTGTGTAGAGGAAAGAGTAATCTGTCAATCCTCCGAGCTCAACGGGCAATTGAGTATTCTTGATCTACGTTGCATCTGACATATTTGACTGTAGGTATGAATATTCCAACTTGATGCGTTAGGGGATGGGAAGTTGTGGAGATCATTACGATTTTGATGAGTGGACGTACCCCGCTGCTATGGGCAAGATCAGAAATTCAGGAGGACACGAAAATTTCCCATGCGGCGACGTTCAGAATCAACAAACAAGATCACACGATGGCGAATATGATACGCTCGTAACCCGCTCGCCTGCATCCCTTCCTTCTGGCGCATGTTCTGCTTTCCACGTCTTTTGATACAGACAGTGTCTCAGAGGACCCAGCGTTCTCTTCGCAGGCTACAAAGTCCCCCACCTGCTGGAACCTCGCTTCGTCCTCCGAATCCAAACTAATGGCTGCATACCCCCCTCTCAAGCTTCAGGAGGCATGCCGGCAAGTCATTGCCATCATCACTGACTTACAGCAGAAGTTCAACAAAGAGTTTGAGATGAAGGAAATAGATGAAGTTGGTGCTCGTCTTGGTGTTGGGTTGGGTCCATATGGCGAGACCCTTGGCTCAAGAGGCATTGGGATTTCGGTGGCTCATGGACAAGCAGAAGAATATTCACTCCCTCACTTATTGTAATTTGAACCAAAGGTTGCAGTATTAATCCGCATCGATGCTCGACACAATGGACCTCAGCGACATCTAATGCATTGACAAAGCTATGTTGCAACAAGAAATGATAAAGATATGCACAAAAAGATTGAGATCCGTTGTCCGATCATCATCGCAGAAGTCCAGTCTGAGTCATACTCATGTATTTATCCAAATCGGCATCAAGATCGGCAGCAACCGCTGGACGGTCACGCGCCAATGCGAGTCTCTGGGCCCGTTTTGCCGTACGTCTGGGACCTTTCTTCACGCGGGCTCGAAGTGGTTGGTTGATGTAGCTGGTGGGACCATGCATGAGCAAACATTTAATATCGAGTGTTGTAACTCACGTAGTGTTGGATCGAAGTGTTAAAGCCACGGCCGAAGGCGTTGGGGGAAGGCGTTGAATTGGGAGAGGCGAGGCCACAGGGGGGCCCAAACGTTGGGAGAGGCGAAGAGGCGGAGGGGCGTTGACATTTTGTGTTGGTTGAGGATGGATACGGCCGGCTAAGCTACGCGGCTGGGTGGCTCCATTCAGGCCACCGCGAGGAAACTCTGGCTCTTCAGTGTCGATAACGAGTCTCACGCGAATCGGAGAGCCTGGAGTGAACTCGCTACGCGTCCAGCATTGAAATCACACCAACATTGGCACTCACGTCCATCAATGACTCGACCATGGTATTTCTAAGGGATAGGGGATTGATCAGTGATGCAACATTGGCGAGAGCAATCCTCACCCTTCGTGCTAAAGCTGCGTCAGAAGGATGACTGAACTGGACATATCCCTTCCCCTTGGGATAGCCCTGTCGCAATTGGTTGGCGCCAATTCTTGGATCGGGATATGGAAAAGCATACTTTGTCATTATACAGAAGATACGCGTCCACTACATATCCAACCTGTAGTTGAATCAGATACCTCCCAAGTGCTCGAAAGAAGGTTGCTTGCCGTCGTTGCAAAAAGCTCCTACAAAAGTTCGCCGCTTAGCTAGTAGAACCTGTATTCTGACGTCGACGACAAACCTCAAGTTCTCCAGGTAATGCATCAAACGGAAGTCCTTCAATGAGTATCGCGGAACCTGGAACACTGAGAAAAGAAGTTGGATTCGATGCAGCGCCCCATGCATGGTGAACTTACGGTTGCAAGTGTACTTTTAGTGCATTATCTTTGGCCTCCTGACGAGCTTGGTTAGCGGCATCTCGGCGTTTCATAGTCTCTTTTTCTCGTTGCTGATCTCTCCATGATGGTGGTATTGTCGACCGAGGCCCATGAGGAATGACGGTTTGTCGGGCTGCAGGTCGTCTCCTTGAATTATGCATAACCGCGCAGTGGCTATCTGTGATGCTGAGAAAAACGCGCTATGCGAAGCTAGATAGAGGCCCGAGAACGTTAAAAGATAAAATCTGAACCTCGCGATATTTGGCTTGTGAGGTGATGAATACACGTGATGAGAATTTTCAAGATTCGGGCCAAGTTCCGGGGCTGGTTGTCAGGGCATAGCACGTGGACCACCCAACCCTGTCCCTGTCCCCTCTACCTTCCCTGCCATCACTCACATTTCCCTATGTGCGCGAACCCGCGGGAAAAATCACGTGGGCTAGGCGACAAAGTCGCAATGGGAAGAAGGGGTGGTCGGCAATTCCCGGAGCAGAAGGTAGGGGTCCGCACATTCGGTGTCAACCTGCATGTCACCTTGATTAATTGGATTCTGCCTGCATGTTTAACGCCGTTTCTGGGTCTCCCAGATCACCAGAACGTAAATAAAAGTAGGGGTGCTGTGGTTTGGTTTGGTTCGGTTCTGGGGCAATTTTTTGAGAACCAGAACTGAACCGGTTCTGTGTTTGGGCGATGATGTCAAACCAGAACCGAACCAGTATATGAACCAAACTGAACCACAACTCGGTTCTGGAACGGTTTGGTTCGGTTTTGGAACGGTTCAAGCAAGCCTTGTATTACTGTCCAAGTTAATTATTGTAATTACACTACGAAGTGCACTAATAATACTTGGAACACGAAATTTCAACCAAACATTAAGAATCTAGGTTGATTCCCACTCTCAATCTCTCTGCAGACATGCGGCCATATTCACACCACTCTTGGGTCTTCACTGCCTCTGAGGTCTTCTTTGCTTCCCTTTCCTCACAATAACGACACTGTATATCAGCCTTGGCAATTTGGATAGCACCAAGGTGCTCAGGAGTGAGGTGATTCCGATTGTCGTTGTCAGTGTGTTTCGCAGCAGAAAATGCCCTTTCACACGGAATGGATGAGGCTGGAACCGAAAGTAAGTCCTGAGCAATTGACATTAAAACCAGATATGCGGCGCCTTTTTTCTGGAAGTTGGAAAGGATAAGTCCAGGTTGCAGTTGAGATCAAAATGAGTGCTGGCAATGTGGCTTACCATCCTGAAGTTGAGAATGTCGGTTCCTGGAAATGCAAGTGGTTTGATAAGATAACGTTCGAGTTCCGCACAAGGATCATCACTTGAGATTTCTTGGGCACATCGAGCTTGACTGGCTGCAAGATGGTGTGAAAGGCCATATACTTCATCAGTTGAGGAAGCAATTGGCACTATCATCTGAATAGTATCGCCTCCATTTGTTCCAGTTGCAATTGAGGTAGCAGCCTAAGACCGGGTTGCATGTGCTGAATGGTACTCAAGAAACTTGTAGCAGTCAGCAACAATCAAATTTAGGGGATCTTAGTGGAACATACAATGTTGCGCACAGTCCGTATTGCAGCCTCCTGGTATTGACGCACAAAATAATGCTTGATATATGAATCCTTTGTCATTGGATCAAGAACTAGATGAATGAGTCATCGATACAATCCTATTCAAGAGTTTGGAAAGATACCTGTGCTGAGAACTGCAAGAGGTGATGCATCCATCTCATCGTAATACTTCCCCAGAAGGGCAATACCAGCATCAAGGGCATCATAGATATTCGTGTATCTAGGCCCTTTTCGCATTCCCTCCCAACTTGTATAATTCCCTCATACACTGAGAGCAGGCATGGTTCCAGAGAACGACTGCTGTGCATGAGCTGCAACCTTGCATGTGAAGATTGTTACCAGTATGCTGTGAAATGATAGGAAATAAAGCTTACCTCGGGTGCATCTACAACAAGTTCCATAGTAACCCAGTCATTGTCGCTAAATGTCCATGTGCTATACTTGGGTGTGTGACCCTTTGCTTTTGGAACAGAGTCTTTGTGATCGGCATGCTTGAGAAAATGCATAATAGCCTATGCATTGGAAAGTGAGATATGAGACAAAATCACATAGTAGTATCATCATACCAGTGCAATCCAATAAATCGTTTCAGAAGCAATAGCCATGAACCCCAGCGTGTGTTTCCATACATCACAAGTTCTAGTGGTTTGATAGATACTTTGACACAACATTCTCTTAGATAATGCTTCGCACCAGGGGGCTTTCGGATCTATGTCATGATCCAGTTCAGAATAAAGATTTTATTAGTGAAGTGAGAACATAACTCACACAGACAATTAGAGTTCGAACACAGACTAACAATGGCCCAATTATGGTGCCTTTGGTAGATAGCATCTCGAGGCCAGAAAGGTCGGTTTCATCATTGTTCCCAGCATCGGCCTCCTGAGGTTCTATAGGATTGTTAGCATTGCCCATAAGAGCACAAATAAATGCCTGTTGTGCAAGGTTGACAATATGACCCATGCATCTGGAAAATATGTGACCTAAGTGAAGAAACTTTGCGCACCACTGGAAATTGAAAACCTAACACGGTAACAGGAAGCATCCCATCTTGTGTTATGTTCCTCGCTGAGGATTTCACTCATCACACACATTGCTGCATCGTTTGTTGATGCATTGTCAGAAGCGATGTACCTGATCTGTGGAGGAATGAGATTGAATTATTGATGTGGGAACAGTCAGTCAAAACTCACCTTCATTGTTGGGATCATTTCAGTGGTCTCTCATAATAATGTCTTGGCAATATTATCGCCTGTGTGAGGCCCATCAAGTTCACAAAAAGACATGAGCTCAGAGTGAATGTGCCATTTGTTGTCCAAGAAGTGGCATGTTACCCTGAGGAAACCTCTCATTGTTGCGGAGGTCCATGCATTGCAAGCGAGAATCTGCTACACTCTCCAGGAAACAGAAGGTAGCACTCCAACTCACTCCCCAAAGGCTAGGGAAGAAAGAGAAAGGGGGCTGAAAGGGGTGTTGCAGTTAGAACAGGTCCATATATCAACAGAGGGAGGGGGGGGAGGGGATTTCGGGAATAATATAACTCTGGTAACTCCTGTTTATCTTCTTTCCATGGTGGATTTCCCTAAAGGTCACAATAGGCCTTTACCAATCGTGTGGACACTCACAGCACTCAAGTACATGGACTTCAAAAGTAGCAGGAGGGGGGGAAATCTTTAGTCTGTTTCAATCGCTATGTACATATACCCATTCAGCAAACATACAATCTGTGAAAAGAGTCCGAAATATATGGGTTTGGCTGAGCTAAGCCTCCACCAATCAACAGCAGTAAGGTTTGGGTGCTGTTGGCTTAGAATAAAATTCCAAACAACAATGAAAATTGAAAAGAAAAACACAAACTTCCTCATACCACTCCAAACACTGCGTCAAACCTCCGTCCCTTTATCCCACTCGACTCTCCTCATCCATAGCTTTCTAACGATACCAATTTTGTGAAATTTAGTGGGGATTTGACTGAGAACAGGAATTCTCAGAAACAGAATATATATCTTGATTATCTGTGCACAGGGAAACTTGGGCCAAATAATATGCCATAATTCCAAGACTCCTCCAATGTCTTCTTTAGCATTTGTATCATTTAACTAGCCCATATTCTTCTGGAATTTCACTGAGACTAGCTCGCATGTGAGCATCCACATAGTCCATATTGTCCCGTGACTCCCATCATGCCTGATAATCAGAATATCTCCACAACCACTGAACCGATTAGGGTGAAATTCAACGCTGGGTATTTGGGCATTTTTCTCGATTAAATGACCCCAAGATCGTCCTCTTCCGTCAGCTTTTGACCTTGTTCTCATGGTTGTGGTCAAGTGCACGGACTTTGTTCATGAGGACATCTCAGGTTGAATTTCTCCACCAAATCTCAACCAATTCCTTCGCGGAAAGGCTCTTTCGGTTCGTACGAAAACCCTCTTTCTTCTTTCTTATTACTCCCCTCTATCATTCTTTCTTTTTCCTAATAATGTACAAGGGTGGGAGCCCAATTTTGATGTATTTGCTGTGTAAGGTTCCATGAATTTGAGCACACCCATTATGCACTCCTACAGCATCAAAGGAAAAGTGAACAAGGCCAGGTGCCTCCTATGATCAAATCATGTAGTATTTTCTAGTGGCCAAAGTGGGGTGAGAAATACCTCAAGTTGTTTTTTCAAGTTCTCCATGACCATTTCTGACCATGCAATGATGAGTTCGGTCAATTTTGTGCAGTGAGGAAGGTCCTTTTCCTTGTAGCGTGGGGAACCACCAAGGCCTGTGCAGGATTGAAACTTCATTAGGTCACAGAATGAGTTTGAGTTGACAAAATCAAAGCCCTGCATGGTGAAAGTTAGCTGAGGCAGAGTGATCAAAGAGTAACCCACAAGGTCATGTTCAATGGTTAGATTTTCAATTCTACACAATAGACCTTCCACAGACCATGATTCTTCATCCTCAGCTAGATGATAGAAATGGGTGATTCGTTTTTGGTTGTTCCTGTGAAGGCAATACATGAAGGTTGAACCTGAAATGAATTCAATTCAATCTGTGTGGCATACTTGTTTGCCGTGAAAGCTGCTTTTTGCTCTTCTTGTACAGTGCCAGGCATAGCTCTATCATCAGGTGGGATTCCAAGGGCATTACATTGCTTCAGGTAGAGCTCCCAGTGCTCTCCCCCACTACGGCTGATGTGCTTGCGAAGTGTACTTGAGCCAGAACTGGCAGCAAAGTGTGGCATCAACAGTTTTGACTGGTTCCCTTTGTCATAAGCAGATCTATAGCACATGTATGTTCATTGTTTAACAGAATAATGAATATATTGAAACTTACTTGCACACTTGGCACACGCGATAGCTTTTCTGCCCATTGTGAATAACTTCCGTGAATACTGTTTCAAGATCTTGCATCCCTCGTGCTTTCTGAGACAGCTTAACCACTTCAGCAGTGCATGCATCTTCACACACAAATGCTTCTGGATCCTCATTAGCCCCAGGTACAGACTCCTCATCCCCGTCTCCACCTGTCTCATTTTTGGACCCAGATACAAGTGTCGGAGCCTCAGGCACTGCAATACTAGTTTGAGTTCGCTTCAACGCTTTCTTCCCCTGGCCAGACCTGCCCCGCTTCCCCAAATTATTCCCAGCTGACTCTCTGTCTGATGCTGAAGATTCCTGGGAGGATGTTGGAACATTGATGATCCCAGCCATCTTCACATGCCGTTTCAGGTTGCTAGGCTTGTTCACCTGAGCCCTATTCTTTGGCAGGGTTTGCAGAGAAGCATTGATGGCCAGGTCTCTGCTCCATGCTTCACCAAGCTGATTTTTTCCCTTTGCAGCAAGTTTTTGCTGTTCGAACACTTCAATTGGATTTTCCCGAGTGATATGCTTGATAATCCGTTTGGGTCTCTCAGCCATCCGAAAAGAAGCAGGCAAGTCATCATCTGGGTCATAGCCCTCAGAATTGGAGATATGGTTCGGCAGGAGGACTGAAGGACTGTAGACAAACTGGTCCGGTTTATCAGCAGCATCACACAGTTTACCATCTTTACCCAGCATAGGATTTTCAGGGTCTGTATGCCACTCACTTTCGTTGCCACAGAGAGTTTCCATTTGCTGAAGGGAGGGTGTATAGATTTTTGTTTTTCAATTTCTCAGCCAACCCTGAATGCATTGATTTTGTAAAATTTCCATGAAAAAATTGTATGAATGCATGCTTAACATTACATTTCAATAGCTAAATCCTTTGATGGTTCTGTGGTTCAGTTTGGTTCAGAACTGGTTCACAATATCCCCCAACATTCAGAACCAGAACCGAACCATCATAGAACCAAATCAGAACCAAACCGTGGTTCGGTTCTGCTGCGGTTTGGTTCCCAGTTCGAACTGGTTCAGAACCGGTTCTCTGTGAACTTCAGCACCCCTAAATACAAGCATGAGATATATTTTATAATGACATTTCAGTTGGTTATTCTTGTCTCGCTTCCGCTTCTGGCAAATCTCACAAGTCCACTTCATCTGTGTTTGTCTGAGGTTAACACAGTCAAGATGATACTGTAATGGTGACACTTATATTAGCTAATTGTGGGAATAGACATGGATCATTGTGTACTGAAAGGCTGGTGTAGTTCCAGCCTTGGTGCCTCTTCAATCCCCAGGCAGTCGAGAACTAAGTTATACAGAACTTGTGTTGGAAACCACCTTGGCCTAGAAGGGGTGTTTGGTGTAATGGCAACACACCAGCTTGGACCAATGCAGAGTTCTGTGGTTTGATTCCCAGAATGTCCAAACTTTTAGGTCTCGTGACCACCCAAACTTCCAACAACTTGGTATTTTGATGTGGGTGAGGAGAAGAGTGGGGACTTCACTCGACTCTGGGCCACACATATGTAAATACATGGTTACAACAAGAAAATAACAAATGAATAAAATAGTAGGACCCCTTCCTTACATGTACCCAGCCTGTTTCACAATCTGCATAATCACAATTGATTGCACCACCATTAGCAGCCTCCTCCTTGCTTGGTATGCTGCTACAAGTGCAAGTACACAGAAAGTCCACTTGAACAACCTTCTGCTTCCGGCCACATTGTGTTTCAGCAAGTTGTCAGGGCTCGGTCCTCACTCAGGGACAGCCCGGTGTCAGGGCCCAGCCCTCATTCCACGATGAGCCCAGGGGGATCCTCCTAGTCGCTGGGGTATCTAGTCCCAGTCCGAGATCCTCAAACTCACTGAGGGGGCTAGCCCCAGCCTTCACAGGAAATGAGTTGAGAAGAAGGGTAACCTTCTCAACCTCCTGTGAAGCCGCTACAAATGGGAGCTGGGAACTATATGTCAGGGCACACCTGCCTGACCCGGCCCCACCCGGCCCCACTTCACCTGGTACCCCACCACCCAGTCCTCTCCTACCTCCTCCCCCCTTCCTCTTTCTTTCTTTCCCCATTTCACTTCCTCTTCATTTATTTCACTTTCTCTTTATTTTCTCTTTATTCTACATGGATGACCTTTCTCTGTATCAATGTACCATTGACCCACCCGCAGCGTGCTCACGACACGCCCAGCCTGGGTGCTTTGGGCGACCCCCCACTATGTCCAGCTCGCACATTCACAGTGGATGCCCTTGGGATGCCCCACAGGGACACCTGGGTGACTGCAGCTGTATGCGAGGATGACATGGCACCCATCATGTGACCCAAGCCGCATGTATATAAACATACCTGAAGTGGGAACCGAAGAAGTAGCCTTCTTCTCACCCTTTTCCATTTCAGTCTGAGTGGCCAGGGACTGTCTCCTGAGCCAGGCCTGCCAGTATGCATGCCCGCTCCACACCCTGTGAGACTTCTAGTGTCGGGCATCTCACCCAGGCCTCCTCTACCCCAGATGCATCCCTGACACTATACAGTTTTCGGCTCTTTGCCAACTTTCCATAATTGGCACCCCACGGTTGTGGCTGTGATGGTTTCTGGGTGAGTAACTTGCCCAGAATGTTCCCACGGGTCTGCATGCATGCGGGATTGTGGAATAGTGAAGGGAAAAATAGGAGAACATAGGGGAAGGGTACCTGAGGGTGTGTGGGGTCAGGGGCTGTGCTCTGACACCCAGCCTCAGGACTGGGTGTGTGTGATGTTCAGTGCCAGACCCTGTCCTTAGTGTTACAGTTAAGATGTAACACCAACAGAATTATGGACTCATTGTGGGCTCAACTTAGTTAGCACCCATCCAGTCTCGGAACAGTCCAGAGAACCAGTCCAGATTGTCATCGGTCTAGTCCAAGTTGTTGTCCATGTGTGTATATAGATAGTTGATCACTGAAGGTGGTCCCTTCAGCTGATCAACACTGGTTACTCACCTCAATCGATCTCAGTGTCTAGCCCTTGCCTCCCTTGTCTTGTTTCCTCATGATCTCGTGACCTTGTCTTTCCCTTCCATCCTAGTCTTAAACTCTGCAAGGCACATAACAGTTTGATCAGCTCCACTAACACGCAACTCCTGGATACTCCATGTCTTTTTCTGATGTGTCAATGTCAACCCCTGGCCCTAGTGCCCCTCCTGAGGACCTGGCCACATTCAATCCAGGAGTTCTATTGAATCTCCTGCAGCAACAGGTGATTCAGCACCAGGACCTGATGACTGCAATTCAAGCTCAACAGCAACACCAACAAGTTCTAATGGAAACATTTCAGATCCATCTTCAGAATGTTGCTGCTGCTCCCAATCCCGCTCCTGCTCTGGCCCCTGCTTCCATAATCACAGTGACAGCTAATCCTACTGCAAAGTTTCCCGACCCTATGGCCTTCACAGGCAAACCCTCTGGTGTCCGAGCTTATATTGCTGAGATTGAGTCCTGATTCATGCTTTTCCCAAACCAATTCAACAGTGATTTCATGAGAACCACATTTTTTGGGGCCTGGCTGAAGAGTGAGACCATGTCTAAGTGGTTTATGGGGGTCACTCGCTCCAATCCGGCTCTGTTGCAGTCTTATGTGAATCTCAAGGCCACATTTGAGAAGCACTTCAGCAATGTTGACTATGTTGAAACAGCCCATTGAAAGCTTCATTCTCTCTGTCACATGGTTATCAAGAAGGCCACTGAAAATGCATCCTGGTTGACTGCCAACACTCAGATTATGATATCAGGTCGATCTACTTTGATGGGCTCCAAGCACAATTCAAGGATGCCTTATAGTGGATGTTCCTAATATGCTGGAGGCTCTCATAGCTAAATCAATGGAGATCAACATGTGGCTCTTCAAGATGATTGCCTGAAAGAAGACACCCAATGCGTTGAATTGGCCAGATCATGAAGCAACCATCACATCTGAACCCAAAAGCAACCCCAACTCTGGGCCAGCTCCTATGGAAATTGAGGACGAATCTTAGAATGCCTCTGTTATGAGGATGGGGAGAATTTCTCCCTTCTCAAACCATTCTTGTAGCTGGAAGACGATCGCAAGATCTTGTTTGTACCTTAATGGGATGTGTAATCAATGGGAGGTCCCAGTCATGTATGAGAGTAGATGATCGAATCCGCATTGATCATGGTTCACAATGGAATGAGGTATTAAGGGTTTGATTACAAGTAGTTGGGGATGCCAGGATAGATAGGTTGGCCATGGGTACTTGGCACTCCTCAGGGGAGCGTACCTGCACAGTTGCAACTTGTATGTTGTGTGAAGATCCCATATTGTTGCTATCGGTTACTTGGTGTTTGTAGTACGAACGTACCAGTAGTGGGTTATAATCATGAGAGCCCAGTAAGGAATGGCTAGTGGGGCCTTCAGTGACTTGGTGTTCCCAAAGGGAACGTACCGTTGGCGGTGAGGTACGATGACTGACAGGGGAGGGACCAGATGGTTGATGGGCAGCTACTTGGCACTCATGCAACAAGCATGCCGGCATCATGGGAATATGAGTCTCAGAGCAGTCACGATCCCGAATACCATAATGTGATGTTGTCCGTTGAATGCTGGAGCGAGAGCTAGGTGATGATGTCCTGTAGGATACGGGTTCCAGTGAATGATATACAAGTTGTGAGGCTTCGACTCACAACTTCAAGTCCATGTGGTGAGAACCACCAGAAGACTCGACATAACCAGGCATATAGGGCATATTGAAGGTTGTACACACACACACACGTGTTCAACTGAGTCACAGAAGGGGTTGTTACAAGAGACAATGCACAAGGTAGTTTGTAGCAAGTCGTGGTAGTTAGCAGGAACTGCCTCTGGTGGTTTCTGTACATGATGCATGTGTCAGAGACCAGATTGAGACAAAGGATTTGTCTCCATGGTGGAGGGCTTCGGCCTCAGCGACTCAAGCCAGGAGCGCTGTAGGAGAAATAACGGTCACACTATGGAAACCCATTATGGAAATATGCCAGATAGATCACAAAACCTCATACGACAAGTAGATATAAGAAAACTGAAGGACACGAATTTTTACGAATTTTTACGAATTTTTACGAATTATTATGACTATACGCGATAAATCGAAAGAAAGAAAAATAGCAAAAATACTTCAAGCTTACCATCAACAAGACGGAATTCCCGGGGGAATTTATAGCAAATATTAAAACAAGAATTAGGACAATCGACCAAGATTTGACTATAAAAACAATCAGAGAACCTCCATGGAAACTACTTTCCCACGTCCGCACACGTAGCCAAGGATGGAAGTACCACAGAACAAGGATTCCTCAGGAACTAATGCAAAATTCAAAGTCGTGTTTATAATAGGAAATGTAGATGTCCCCCAAACGGACCCAATGAGAGTAATTACAGGGGAAACTACCCATAAACGACGGAGATATGACTAAAACTCCTGCAAAATGAGGACAATATCTAAAAGGCAAGCGCGAAAATTAACCAGTAACGACCGAGACAAGCTTGATAGGCCATTAGAAAGGAAGGGATCTAATCTTAATCCTCCCAAATTTTCATAATAAAAGGATCATGCGTTAATGAGATATCCAATAACGGGAATAGTGACATCAAAAGTCCGAGCTCAGGGAAAAGACGATGTTTGCGTAGGATCCATAATTAAAACATACAACGAAATTT